TAGCCATGTGTAACATGCATATGTCTTAGTCAATGACTACTCAGCATGCTGTTTGGTGTTCAATGGTAACAGTTTGATTTGTTTTTGACATCAAATAAGATTTGGTTTGTGTTTCTGAGATTCCTATGTTATTTGTGGCAAATATTTTCCAAAAATCCTCCATCTAAATCTTCAACTGAATTCTAAAATGCCTGCATTTTCTACCAGAAACATTATCATTGATACCTCCTACAATATTTCATTTTGTCACTAGGTACCTGGACTGGTGAAAAGTGAAAACTGAAAATCATTCATGTCACCATTATCCCAAGACCTCCCCCTAAATGGAATTGATCTTGTTTCACAAATGAGTTGTACAATGTCTATCAGCTGATGTCTATTGTCTATCTCTTTTTCAGCACAGAAGATCCTCAGTCATAGTTAACAAAATGGAAAAAAATTAGCTGTGTTTTTAATATTCCAGTCGTGGCCATCAATTGCTCAGGGCCCTGTTCAAGTGTCTGCGGCCGCCGCGGCTCCCGCGGCCAAAAAGGCGGAGCTTAGCAGGCGGCCAATCAGGCGAGAGCAGCATTCTGGGTAATGCGTAGCTCTTCCTGCGGCTCCCGCGGTCGCTCGGGAGCGACCGCAGGGAAACTTCGACATAAACTGCGCGCGTGAGACAAAACATTGCGGATTTCGCTCTTTGTTTCGGTTGATTTTATTATGTTGTTAAGGAATAATTGGTTTAAAAAGATACTAATTGAAATAATAAAGCCATTATAAAGTAATTACGCACAAAATTTTGATCAGCATCTCCTTTCAAAACAACCGTGCCATTCTCGTCCCCGGCCGCAGCGGCCGCAGCCGCGAGGGTGTTCAACCTAACCGAAATTAGGCTCCGCCTCCCGGCCGCGGGAGCCGCGGCGGCCGCAGAGCACTTGAACAGGGCAGGAAAGCAGCCCAGAATCACTTCACAACAGGTATGTTGATGCATGTACATTGATATCAATGTCTGAATGCTGAATAATTGTTGAACAGGGAACACATTTAGATTTACCTAGCCTTTAAAAACCACAAATCCTACATTACTTACATCAACATTTTTCTATAGAGCTTATATTATCTACTTTCATCTGGCTAAGGCTTTTTAACATTATATTCCCTCTGTTAAACAAACAAAATATGATAGTGTAACAAGCTGATAATTATATATGCCTTGTCAGCTTGGCCAACATCTGCATCATGCCTATCACAAAATATGACTGCTTTCCTGACATTTGCATTTGTTCCACTCACCAATCGACCACTTCTACCATCTGCTCGCGCCTCGCTCTATGCACAGACATTGTCATAGGGTCTGTTCCAGTCGCACTTCCTAACACCTCTTAACTCCTCCAAGATTGCTTCCCTGTTCCAGTGGCAGCTTTCGCCCCTACAAAGACAAGAAGGGCCCTGCTCCAACCTCCTCTATCTTGCTCTTGGAGGAGTTTAGATGTGTTAGGAAGTGCGACTGGAACAGACCCATAGCAAAACAGTTTCATCTCTCTGTACTGTCTTTTTTCAGGTTTCCAAAGGATCATCATTCATCAGCACAGAAGGGGGGGAAAGAGAAGGCTGTTCAAATTCTGAAAAGCCAGAGCTGCAAAGGAGGTCAAAGATGCAGTGTAGTTGGCCCACTCAGTAGAGTTTCTCTAGTGGTTCTGATGTGGACTGGGGATTACACGCTGGATTGAAGTGGCCGGTCTGGAGCAGCTGTAATTCATCATTCGTGCTGACTGCGGACGAGTAAGAGCCCGCGTTGGCCCCGATCGGCGATCGCTGGCCAAAGCCCACCACCAGGTTGGTGATAGGCGTTGGTTGTGATATGTAGTGTCGCCTATGTGTGAAAAGGACAAGTTGATAACAAAACCTGTTGCGCCATGTTATTAACCCGCGCCCGGGTGGCCCTCAGCCAACTTGGTGGTGGTGGTGGGGGGGGGGGGGGAAGGAGGGGAGGCGTATTCGGCCACACCAGGTTATCTTGGAATGTAACAAAGCTGGAAAGACGCAGTAAAATCAATATATAGCTCGCTATTTTTCTTCAGAATCATACAGGTCATTTTCGATCAGGTCATCGCTAAGGTCACTGGAGGTCACCAAAAGTAAAATGATGACGAATTTTGGCTCCCGATTTTGACAACTTCAGAAATTGGTTCATAACTCGGGAACCAAAGAAGCTACAGCGCCGCGGAAAAGCGAATTCGATAGCTCTTTCGAAAATCTTTCAGATTCTCAGATTTGAGCTAAGGTCAACTAGTTTGAGCCTCCAAAGGGCAAAAACTGAACATTCGGCGTGCTTCGGAAATCGTCTTTTCTTTTAAAACTTTTGATACTAACCTTTTATTACGTTGATTTTACCGGCACTGCGTTTCTCTCGTTTTGTTGACCTAACAAGGTCAACTTAATAAATTTGACCTCAGGTCAAAGTTGCAGAAAATGCCATATTGCATGTCAGTCGATTCGTTACATTGAGATTGAGATTAACATCAGTAGCGGCGGAACACCTTCAATTGAGGGGGCATTGCCGAGTTTTGGTCCCATTCTTTCCATGCAACGCCCATAGGGCTAATGTTAAAATGCCAGAATCAAAGGGGGCACTGTGCCCCGGTGCCCTCCCCGTTCCGCCGCCTATGATTATGATGTTTTTAGCGCTCTGGCCACGTTCCATCTAAAATCAATGTACAAAAATAAACTGTTGGAGACGTTACATGACCTGAGATGACCTCAGGAGCATACGATATATCCCGATGTTTGAGTGTTTTTGTTTCAAAAGCAGAGCATTTCGAGTTCCTCATACTGACTGAAACTGGAGACGTCGCAAAGTTGACCTGACCCTAGGTCACCGATATCAAAATTAAAGATATGTATTCTGGATGTTGGTACTGATTCTCTCATGCAATAGCTCGAGTTTCAAACTTCTACGTCATGGTGACCTGACCTGACCTTAGGTGACATGGGGTTTGTTACATTTTTTTCACAAATGATGCGAATCGATGCATTATACATAAGCTATACTAAGTTTCGTGTCGTTTTATTTATGCAAGCACAAAATTGTCAGGTGCGGCCAAAAACGCCCCCACCCACCCCACCTGGGGGAACGTTAAAGCAGTGATATATTATTCGGTGTATTCCACGATGCATCGATCGGTGTACTTGATAATGCATTATTTATTGCTGCGTGTCTACGCTTTTGCTCTGTTCAGTGTGATCTGTGATAGGAAAACTACCGACATATCTCCACGCGCATGACTGAAAGAGCTGGCATGATCTACAATATTGCGTGTCTGTTTTTGTTTGGCATTTTATAAATACTGAGTCAGCTGTGATCGTTTGATGAGACACTGGGACAGCCGGTCTGTATGATCAGCGAACGGCAGGCGGCGGGGCGGTGGTCTGGTGGCTGCTGCATGGGACTGACACCAGCAGATTCAGAGCTGCGATACGCGGACGTTATGTTCACAATACCTTTGCAAAATAATATCTAATAGATATCATGTCCTCGAAAATGTTCTTCAATCAATATGATGTTACCTGCTGGCTTATTCCATGGGGGCCAAAACCGATCGTTTTATGCATGCCTTTTCGGGGCTTCGTTCTCCTCTAAATGCGTGTAGGTAGCAGTTTTATTCAAGGAACGATTGAAAGTGCCTCCGATTGGTTTTCAGCGTAGGTGGGATTTAATGTCCATGTGTAGTTAATGTCTAATGTTGGTAGGTACGTACTGATGAAAATGTATAAGCTTGCAGAGTAAAACAATAAAAAGAATTCACGGTGCAGTTTTTTATTTTCTGGATGAAATGCATGGACTTCAAAAGGATCTTCAAATGGTAATCCAGCTGCCCAGTAAAAAATACCATTAGAAATTTCCAAATGGTTCCAAATGGGAAAAACCATTTGACTTATTGAACACTTTTCCAAATGGTTCCAAAGAGGTTCCATTTGAAATGTGTCCAATTGGCCACCAATTGGTACCAATTGGAACCATTTCATGACCATTTGAAATGTGTCCAATTGGTACCAATTGGTGACCAATTGGATACATTTCAAATGGTCATGAAATGGTTCCAATTGGTACCAATTGGTGGCCAATTGGACACATTTCAAATGGAACCTCTTTGGAACCATTTGGAAAAGTGTTCAATAAGTCAAATGGTTTTTCCCATTTGGAACCATTTGGTAATTTCTAATGGTATTTTTTACTGGGATGGCCGTTGAATGTGAGGCAGTCGATAAGGAACGTCGAGGGAACGGTCATTGGGTAGGTATGTGAAAGGCAGCAGTAGAAAACAAGGAAGGGAGGCGTTTGGTGTGAGGTTTCAAATGCTCTATGCATAAGAAAAGTTCATTTGATTATATGACGCCGTCCTTTTTATCGCGATACGTGAGCAACGCATGAGACGCTCACTGTTCAGGCTTGTAGCGTTAGAGAATGGGCCGACAGGCTGAGAAGGGCTATTTCCGCGAAAGGATATTCTGGAATTTGAATTGAAAGGTATTTAGTTTTGAAAGCATCCGTACTTACACGATACTGACTCATTTAAAATTTCACTTTTTCCCCATTGCGATAACATAAGAAACCGAGACTGCGGTGTCCCCGTACGCAGGATTCTGGAGACTGTCTGGCGGATGTTAGTGGCTGAAAGCCTTAGTTCTTAAGTAAGTAGAAAACAATCATTTCTTTTGATACTTTGTGACACCTAATTCACTAGAAACAATCTGTACGGGCTTCCAAAAAATGTTATATTTAACACGTAAGATCCATTACAATATTTTAGCTGCCCTAACCTGTGAATATAACGTATGCGTCATTATTGAAAAAGTGCTAAAGCATAGTATTCTATGGGTGACAAATATTCTGCGTCTGTCAGCCAAAACTGGCCAATCAGAGGCTTTGTTTGTCATTTCTGGGTGGGATTAATAAACATGCCGGTGGTATATGCTGCTTTGCGCGCAACAAATGCCGCACTTTCAGCTGCCAAACTATTGCTTCCAAATAAAGTCGCTAGGAACAGCGGATATCCCAAAAAGTAAACAAAAGTAAAAGTCTAATATCTTGAAAACCGGTGAATATTTTTCGGTGAAATTTGGTAGATATTCGTTTTCGCTCTTTCTGAACCGAGCAACATCACTTTCATGCCAATTCATAAACTTTTTTGAAGGTGGGAGGGTCCCTTTAAGTTTCTCATAAATTCTCATAGAAGAGATGTATTGAATAGAGTTGGAGCCCATGCTAAGCCGATCTTGTGCAGGCCCCCACAGTCCCTACTGTCTGATCGCGCATTTGCGGGTATCTGGATAATTTGGACGCCAGAGTTTAGGGTGCACATGAAGACCGGACGTGGTTCCTTCTATTGCCTCGATTTCAACTGGCTGTGACTGCTTCTATCCTGGTGAGATGACCTGGGGGTGTGGACTCGGGCTTGGGCTCTCATTGCCAGGAATCCAATACTACACACACTGAGCTACGGGGACCTGGGTATACTTTTGCACACTTATAGTAGCCATGAACGCCCTGAACCTCCCCCCTCCCTACTTGTTCACTTTTGTATTCTTTGAGCTGCTTTTTGGCCACACAGGGATAGGTATGCAGAATTGCAAAGTGCAAATGTTCCCCTTCCCCTGGATCGTCGCTATTCCATGACTCGTGGTTCCAAGGGTTCTACTGCGCCTAATAGTGACAACCATTTGATTGGCGAGTAAAGGAGATAATTGACAGAAAAGGCAAATGCTGATAAAGAATTAATATAACGATTCATGCCTTTCAAAATGTTCAGTGTCTTTGCCTTGTCCCGGTTTGCTTACATAACCTGAGGCGGTCTGACAGACGGATGTGGTCCATCCTGTCATCTACAGCGAGATCTATTCAACTGCTGCTTCTCTGTTTTGCCGCTAGGTAGCGACTCAGGAGTCAGGCGTCGATGTTTGCCACATGCAGTACGAGTATGAATCAGTGTGTACTTTTTAAAATTGGTATGTGTAGTATTTTACCATATACAGAGCCAGAGGGGGGGGGGGGCTGTGAGCCAAAGACCTGCCAACACCTGGTCCTCCATAGACCACAACACTTAGACTGTTGCCCTTGAGAGGCGAGGCGAATGCTTTCAGCCCATCTCCTCTCCCGGCTCACCCGAAGCTAAATGAAACGATGCATGGGGTGTGCTATCCGACTGTCCACCACTGGCTGATCAGCCCGTAAGGCAAGCATACAGTGTGCTCAGCATTCCTGGAAGACGGAACTCGAACCGCCTCTCGACACTGCGAATTTGTCTCAACATCTGAAAGGATGCTGTCCGTGTATCTGAAGGGGGAAGGGGGATCAAGGCAAGGGTCTGCAGGGCATTTCAACCCGCGCCCGGGGGGCTATTTTTGCCCCCTCCAGACTTTTCGATATATCTCCAGAACCGCTGCGCCGATCGTCACCAAACTTTCAGTACCCTCCCGGGCATCAATTTTAGGTACACATTGTGATTTGTGACCAAAGCTTTTCCAAAGGCTGACGTCATGTTCTGCCGTTTTCGACAAAAAAAAAGTTCGCGGGAAGAGCTGTGAGGCCTATAGTTTTGAAGATACAGAAAAATGTTTAAGAAAAAGTGTAGAATTACCAGAGCTACTAAGCTGCTATCTCGAAATTTTGAAATTTTCGAATTTTGACTCCAAAAAATCCAAAAAGTAACAGCCAAAAAATCCAAAAAGTTTTTCGAGTTTCGAAAAAAACGGAATATATGTCATGTGATAGCCCCTAATGACTTCTATTCACATACCCAATTTTAGATCGATACCTATTTTTGGCCAAGTCATAGCGAAAAAAAAAACTGTTCAAAATTGATGTCAAATTTTCCAACTCAATTTTTAGCAATTCTAGACCACGTAACGAAAAACGAAGACCACTTTTAGACTCGCCGTGACGAGCTGCATCGAATGAATACCCATTTTATGCAAAAATATCAACTTTGAAATTTGACCTTTTTTGACCTGACATATTGACCTGACCTCCACCAGGAAGTGACCTAAACCGCTCCTGATGGCCTTATAACGAACAACATTGAGTTGGAAATGAAAAGTTGGCCATAAATCATGCATCGCACAGCCCTAGTAAAATTGGGTTCATGTGCTGACCCAGGCTTTAACCCGCGTCCCGTTGGGGTCTGCCGAGCTGAGCAACGCGCCCTGCTGGGGGGCCGGGGGGGGGGGCAATTTGCCCCCCCTCCCCTAAGATCTCGAGAACCACGCAACATATCGACAAGCGGCAAACGGTGTTGGATATCCCCATCAGGGAACTACCTTGTGACCCAATTGCATTGACCTAGGTCAAACCGGTGACGTCACAGGTCAGGTCAAAGGTCGAATTTTCACCGTTTACAGGTATTTCAAGAAATGCGTTATAAAATCGAGTAAAATGCATTTCATTGAAAATCATCGATGGGGAAATGTTCGTCAAACACATATTTTGCTATTTGAGGTCACTGATACCAGGTCAGGTCACAGAGGTCAGGTCACTGAGGGTCGCAATATGAAAATATCATGTGATGCATGTTTTATGGTCCATTTTATATGCCAAATACGATTATGTGGGTCAGGCAGTCTTTGGGGTCAGTTTAGATTATGTTCTGGTGAAGGTTAGGTCAAGGTCAGTTCAAGGTCAGGTCAAATTAGGTCAAATTTCAAAGTTGATATTTTTGCATAAATGGGTATCGATTTGATGCAGCTCGTCACGGGGAGTTCAATGATGGTCTTTGTTTTGCGCTACGTGGTCTAGCATTGCTAAAAAAAATTGAGTTCAAAAATTTGACATCATCAATTTTGAACAGTTTTTCGCTATAACTTGGCCAAAAAAGGAGGTATCGATTTGAAATTTGGTATGTATATAGAACAGCGCAGGGACTATCACATATATCCCTGTTTTCCGAAATTCGGAAAAAATTAGGGAATTGTTTTGCGTTTTTCTAAAAAACAACATTTTTTGAATTTTTAGGGGTAAAAAAAAACAAAATTTTGAAAATCCGAGATAGCAGTTTTGTAGCGCCGCCATTTGTCTACATAACCATATAAAGAACTTTGAAATTGCTTGGTAACTGTAGATTTTGTGAGCTTTTCAAGATTTCATGTTTTTTTTTTTGCTCATTTTTGCTCGAACATGACCTCAGTTTGACCTCAATAACTCCTGACCTAAGGTGACCTAAGACTTGAAATTTTGTGTGAAGGTGTCAAATTGATGCCCGGGAAGGTACTGAAAATTTGGCGGCGCTGCGCGCCGCCGTTTTCTTGCTATTCAGAAAAAACACAGGGGGAGGGGGGGAAATTGCCCCCCAGCGGGGCGAGGGTTAACCTACAGGGTGACCTAATGACCTGACCTAGTGTTATCAGTGGCCTCTAATAGCAACATATGCACTAGGCAACTGACGCCCTATCGCTGATTTTCGATAAAATGCGTTTTACTCGATGTTATAGCGCATTCCCTAGAAGACCCGTGAACGGCAAAACATTTTATCTTTGACCTGACCTGTGACGTCATCGGTGACCCCGAGGTCAATGAAATTTGATTTCTCTCGACAAATTTGACAGTGCTTTCGAACGCCATTTGAATTTTGTGAATCCGTCCAGTAGTTTCGGAGATACGAGGGGGGGGGGGCAAAAAATACCCCCCCCCCCCACCAGGTCGCGCGATAAACAGGCCCCACCAGGGCGCGGGTTAATGATGCACAGTAATGTATATAGGACTCTTACTTCTACCACTATTCTTGTCCCTACTCTAACCCCTACTACGAAAAAATGCACATGTAAAGATATCGTCTTTAATTAATATGTCTCGTATTAATAATCGGTATACATCGTCTCTCCGAAAAGGGGGCAGGCCAAAAGTTCGTCATATGCTTGTAAGTCAGCTTAGAATTGAAGACCACTTGACTATAGACCGACCATGACAAAGTGCGGGTGCTCGCTGCGGGTGCCCAAAGCTCATGTTATCTCTTTCTTTACTTGCCATTACATGAAAAACTTTCAGGGTTGCACAACAGGGTGGCATTGGAAAACAGCGAGCTAGCCTTAAACGGGCCGCCAGCGGTAAAAGTACCGTAGCTGCGATGTCGCCGATTATGATAAGCATCCCTGTGCCAGTACCGTGTGAATTTCGGGTAGATCTAACGGTGGGCCGTCAGTACTGACGCTAAAGGACCCTGACTGGACGGAGTCGGACCCGCTGTGCTTACCCTGTGCCGTGAGTGGTATGGTAGCCGATAACCCGTGTGCTCCCTATGTGCAAGGCCGCGCTGTGTGATGTCTGACCCGAGTACAGGCTGTGACGGTGTGTACCTCCATTCAGGAGGATGTCGTCTTCGCGGAAAGAGCACCTGGACGTGACGGCCGGCCAGTTCCGACACGACCTGGTCAGCGGCGCGGAGGTCGTCGACAAGAGGCTCATCTCGCCGACCGTCTACGGCCTGACGCTCAAGGTTGAAGACCCGAATTTCGGATTTCATGCCGGCCAGTGGCAAGTGGCTTTGTTGCTGGGCGTCAATATGACATGCTCGCTTAGCAAACAAAGTTTGGTGTGCACTAAGGCGACGAGTAAGACTCGTGCAGGCAATATAATGCAGATGTTAAGTACTGACGCGAAATTAAGAAGTGCGTGTTCCATCAAATGTTCATTTGAAAATATTATTAGTGCATTTACGAATTCACATAAAGCAACTATGGTTACATATGCAATATGCATATTATTTAAAACACTCGAAATGAGAAAAGATGCATTGCATCATGCATGTAATCAAACCGGTAGGTAATACTGCATTAGTTCGTGTCAGACCAGCATCAAATGGCAACACCAAACAGCTGCTAATGTCGTGTTGTGCAGGGTGGATTTCTGCATCCCCGGCACGAATCTGGTGGGCGGCTACAGCATGTGTTCGGCCCCTGACCAGCTGCGAATGGAGGGGACCCTGGAGCTGGCCGTCAAACGCTCCTCGTGGCCGCCGGCCGTCTGGATCCACCAGCAGGTCAGTACATGAGCCGGGCAATGTACCGGCACATCAGTCTCGTTCGTCAGTTTCCCACCATGCGAGCGCTAAGGCTACCACGAACACCTTATCCATTAGTTCGCTTTTCTTTGTTGCGTATTATGTTTTACTAAATCGTGGAAATTGTCCATCGTAATTTCTTATAGATCACCTTCGAATAATAATCCCAAATCAGTTATATATTCTGTAATGATGCGTCTGTCTCGGCGCTCAGAATCGGCACCATATTAACATTTACTTTTTTCGTCCCTCATTGACGACCTGTACCGTGTTGGCTGTTCGCAGTGCCGGGTGGGCAGTCGGGTGACCCTGAAGGCCGGCGGGAACTTCTTCTTCCACCCGGCGCCCCAGGATCCGGCCCGGCCGCTGCTGCTGGTGGCCGGGGGCGTCGGTATTAACCCGCTGGTGTCGATCCTGCGCCACTGCCGCCACCTGCGCGCCGAGTCTCGCCGCACCGGCGCCGGATACGTGCCGCGGCCGGTGGAGCTGCTCTACAGCGCGCGCAGCCGCCACGAGCTCATCTTCCGGGTGGGTGGTGGGTGGGAGGGCGCAGAAACTGACACAGGTGCGCGAGCTTGCTGTATAGTTACAAAACGAGAACATAGCTTTGACTTTAACACCGCTACATATGTTTTATGTGTAACTGAGATAAAGGAATGCAGCAATGTAAGAATATAATTAGTTTCTTTACATCAAATGACTCTGCTCTTCGACAGGACACCATAGCGAGGATGGCCGACGAGGGTTTGGTAACGGCCAACCTATTCGTCACGGGAAATGGCGTGCCTGTTGATGATACCTCCTGCCATAGTGAGTACTCACTCTCAAGGGTATTTGACAGTTTGTTGATAATTCTCATAAACAACGCTGTATCTACTCTTATTTTACCAATTAAAGGTGCGGATTTTCGACGAAAGGCGTACATGACCTGATGATCTCCAGACCTGAACTCGAACCAGTGACCTGAACTCTAACCAGAACCACTTCCCTCTGACCGCCCCCCCCCCCCGCCCCCGTCCGTCTGGGCAGACCGGCGCGTGTCCAGCTCGGACGTGGAGTCGGCCGTGGCCCGGCTGGGCGGCGCCCCGCTCTGTTACCTGTGCGGGCCCAGCGCCATGGTGGAGGCCGTCGAGGGGTGTCTGCTCGGCCGGCTCCGGCTGAACACTGCCGACGTCCGGTTCGAGCGCTGGTGGTGAGCCCCCGGTCAGTCCGCCGGGGCGCCAACCCCGCACGGTCAGTCCGCCGGGGCGCCAACCCCGCACGGTCAGTCCGCCGGGGCGCCAACCCCACACGGTCGGTCCGCCGGGGCGCCAACCCCGCACGGTCAGTCCGCCGGGGCGCCAACCCCGCACGGTCAGTCCGCCCGGGGTGCCCACTCTGCGGCACTCGGTGGCCGGGGGGGGGGGGGGGTGATGGTGATGTGGGGCGCTGCTCCGCTGTGCAATGCAACGAGTCAAGTGATGTGAGACTTCTTTGAATGATAGAATGTAGATTGTTAAATGTGTATTGAAGGCACGGCATAGCTGTTGTTTGTATGAGTTTTTTTTTAGGTTGACGGTATAGCTTATGTATCATTCACAACGATTTAATAAAAGGAAAGCAAACAGAAGTTATCACCTATTTTTCTTCTTTCGGGGTTAGTTCATCATTTTTAAAAAGGTCCTTGTTTTTCCTGATAACGACTTGTGGAGTTAGCACCATTCACTGTATAATTGTGACTGGTGAACAACCGAATATGACATCGTAGTTCCACCACAAGACCGCTAAATTACGTCCACCTCCAAATGGAGCTTCTGTTCCTAAATGCGCTCGTGGAAAGTCAAAACACGTCCCGTCCAGACCATGAGTAGGTATGCTATCTGGGCACATCTAACCGGTCGGGCGCTGCTCGGGGCCGAAGGAGGCAGTTCATCCCCCGCGTCACTGTTGGGGAGATCGGAGCCCGATAGAGGCGCCCTGCAGGCTCACTGGGGCCCGGGCCGAGATAGCGACACCTGAACGTGTGAGGGCTTATGGGAGAACTCCAACGAGAACAGACTGAATATGGGAAAGTGGTAAACATATGGAGGTGTAGGCGGAAGGTGCATGTGTTGTTTAGAGAACAGATATTTTGAGTTTGGCTTCTCCGCAATACTTGGTTCCCAAAATCGTTGCGTCTTTCCCCACCGAATAATCACTTTGACTTTATTTACAGAGCACTCGTGCGCTGCCATTGTCGGCGCCTTTGATTTCGGTGGCCCGGCAATGTTGTATATTCCCGAGAGTGCAAGCGGAGCACGTTTGGTCGGGGGTGCGGCGTCACCATAGCGATTGGCGCTGCTATCACTGCGCGGCCGGTAAATAAATGGAGCGGCGCTGTTTTCGGCGCGCTCCGCCCCTTTTGTTATGACTCTGTGGGGACAGACTGGCGGCGGCTGGCGCTCCATCAGTGATAGATGCGCGCCGTTGTTTCTGTTAATCGGCTAATCTGGGCACAACATTAATCACGGCGACAATAACAAGGTGTCGCAGGCGGCGGGCGACGTCGGCGGCGGCACGACGGCCCGTCCGGCCGCCCGCCGGTCCCAGGTGGATGGAGCGCGCCGGCCGCCGGCCGCCGGCCGCGCCCGCTGCCGCTTCCGACCGGCGCCGCCAGCCAAACAGAGTCGGCCGGCCCGCTCCAAACACTGTCGGTGGCCCCAAACATCGCCCCGGGCCGCCGCCGGGCGGCGCCTTCACACGGCAGAAAAATCGGCCGAAACTGCCGACCGGATGGAGAGAGGGTCCTGTTCGGCGGTCCGCTCCCAAGAGCCTCGCAAAATAATCCGCCGTATACCCGTAATATACTCAGAAATGCACACGCAATTAGCCTCTGTTTGTGTAACCTGCTGAGTGCTGCGCGATAGACTCTCGACATTGAAACGCTTCTGATCGTCGTATCAGCAAGTTTCCGTCGATTTTTCACTGGCCAGCGGCACTTCAAACCGGCGCCGCGGCCGCCGTCTGTAAACTGTGGGTTGTCGTTTAAACTCGCGGCGGCGATACTCGGCCGATATATTCGTTGTGCGGTCATTCGGCGGCAGCGAGGGAGTGGGCGCTCTCGGGCGCTGACTCAGCTGCATCTGATGGTGGCGGCGGGTCCATCACCTCTCAGCCATCCGCGCTCCGACGTCCTCTGTGACCTGTCCCACGCGCATTTCTGCTAATTCCTCTGCCGGATCGGCGGAGTATTTTCCGATGTGGCGCCGGTGCCTGGCTCGGCGCTGGAAGGAAACTCTGCCCGTGGGAGACGAGCGAGTGACAGGTACGACCCGGGACACACCCACAGGCCAGCCGGGCCGGCGCCGGCACCGCGGCCTCGGTCCGCAGCCGTGTTTGCCTCTGCCGACTACTGTTTGTGCATAGTTCCCGCAATGGGTCCACGATTCAGAAAAGGCAGCTCGCGTAATCTCTCCTTGGTGGGCTGGCTGACGAGACGAGGAAACTGAACGGCTGCCCGGGAGCAGCCAATCACAGGCTGCAGGAGTTTCCGGCATGGCGTTTTAAGAAGTGCAAAGGTCATCTTAGTCATCATCAGTGATGAAATTGTATGTCGATCGGAGTAGTCATCGATTGTGCTGCGTTTTTGTTGTTTTTGTGCAGTGTTCAGACGGACGAGTTCGGCCGTCTTATCCCTCCGACGACACCTGGTTTCTCACACCTAGGTACAGTCACACATGAGTTATTCTTCCTCCACCAATGTCCACTTCCTGCCACAGCTCGGCGTATCTCCTTAAACTTTTTATTAATGGGTTGATATACATTTTTTTTGTTGTACTTAACTCTTATATAACCAGTATTGTTCACTGGTTCTATATTTCATACGTACCTACATGATCATGCGGACATTGAGCGACGACCATCGCACCTATCAGGAATCTGGAGGTTGCGGTCCCCCTCGGCCTCTAATTGCCTTGCATTGTATTATATAAATGTAATTAAGGTTCTGCGTCCCCCTAAAAGGCGTTCCTTGCATCCACCATAGCTTTTGAACGTTATTGTATCAGCGCATCTTTTCTGTTCGGGGCAAAGTTTTAGCGGATCCTGATCTCACCCGGAGATTACCGAAGGCCACCCCACGGCGCCACGTGCTGCATTCCTCCCCGGTTTCCCATTCTACACCTGCCTCTGCAGTGTTCTGTCTCCCCCAGTAACTGTATTCTGCATCTGATTTCCACCATCTGGTTCCCTGTCAGCTCCGTGATTCCGCTGCAGTTCACCGTGACAGGCGGACACGCCGCGTGGCTCCCGTTCGGCGCTCACGGGCAGCGCGCCGCGGCCGGTCGCGCTCCCGGCCTGTCATGTTTGCCGCATCTGTCTCGTCGGCCGGGAACCACATACACACATCGATAGCGAGTGGCCGGGCCGGCGAGCGGCCACTGCCGGCCCGGGCAGAATACTAATGGCGCCGCGGCCGACCCGTCGTGTTCCGACCGCTCACCGCGCTGCGGCCACCGATGGACGCTGGCGGCCGGTAGTCCCTGGGATGGCAGTCCCTCAGTCCATCAGACAGTCCGTCAGATGGCAGTCCCTCAGGCGGCGGCTGGCAGTCCCTCAAAGGTCAAACAGTCTCAGGCAATCTCTCAGTCTCTGGGACAGTCTCGCAGTCTCTCAGACAGTCTTTCGGACAGTCTCTCAGACAGTCTTTCGGACAGTCTCTCAGTCTCAGAGGCTCTGACAGTGCCTCAGACGGCAGCTCTCAGTTCCTTGGCCGGCGGCCCGCATCTGACTACCCGATCGCCGCGGCACGGCTACCAGAATTTGCACTCGCCGCGATGGATGGCCGTGTCCGAGAAGTATGCGGTAAGCCGGCCGATAAGGGTCGCCGACAATATGTGTGGCTGCGGCCGGCGAGGAGCGACAGCCGAGCGGTCTTACTCACCGGCAGGCCGCCATCGGCAGTGGGCGCACGTATCGGCTCCATATGGGCCGCCGCTCGGCTGCTTTGATCCCGGTGTCGTCGGGGCCGATATGGGGCCCGGCCGGCTGCTCTGGACGGCGGCTGGCCGGGCCGGCAGGACGTGCAGGGAGTCTGCCAGGCGGCCACACTGATCCCGCGGCGATAGCCACCCGGGTGAGCGTGATGTGGCGCACCCAGCAGCCGTAAAGAACGACAACGATGGATTAAAACATGCATATTTGGGAAATGTTGACATTTGAAGACTTGCTCACGTTGATGGTAATCCCAAAATCAGCAACAAGAAGTCAAGTAACATACGTCCGTCCGTGTGATCCTTATGCGAGCGATTCGGCACCAGTTCAAGCAAAATGTAGGAAGAGTAGCTGAAGGCGTTTACAGAGATTGGCAATACCAGAACGTAAAAAAGACAAACCAAACGTAACATCAGTCTCCTTGCCAGGAAAGACTCCCTAATCATGTCCATGATCGTCAAAAGTCGTCCAATAAGCCGCCTCCTATCTAGACAGTTCGGCGTGGCGTACCTTACAATTGAGCAAGCTAATCCTGGATGGAATTATTTCCATCAATTCTTCACTTCCCATAGAGTGAAAAATGTCTTTCAGTAGGCTCCATCAATCTCTTCTCGCTGGCTTGTCTTGTCACTTTCCGTATAATGTGATTACTATCTTACCTGAATCGTAGGCGCTGTAGTCTGACAACTTTATTGCCACCCCACTGTGGGTTTCCGCTAATCCCCATCATTACAAGGGGCAGCCAGTACCGAGGGTGCGGTGCGCTCCGGTGGTGTCTGATCGCTGTGCGTCGGATCAGGCCCGCTGGGCGCCGCGGCTGACAGCGGCCGGTGACGGGCGGACCCCACCGGCGCGCCGGCCGCCCTCTCCGCAGGCGCCGCCCACCCATCAGCCCCTCTCGCGCCGGCCACTGTCGCGCCTGTCAAGATACTCATCGGCTGCTCATCATCATTAGCCTGTAATGAGCTGGACAGCGTGGGCCGTCCGCGCGCCGGCCGCCGCCGCTCATTGGCCGCCGGCCGGCCGTCACGTGACCGGCGGCGCGGACGGCGCGGGGCGGCGCGGCGGCGGCAGTCTCGGCGGCGCGGTGACGCCGGTGACGCTCGGCGACAGTCGCGGAGATGGCCGACCGGTGGCCGACGCTGGCCGCGCTGGCCGTGCTGGCCGCGCTGGCCCCAGCGGCGGCGTTCGAGCAGTGGGACACGGTGCCGGGCCGCGGCGGCCAGCCCGTCTGCATCACCATCCCGCACAACATGACGCTGTGCCGCGGCATCGGCTACTCGATGATGAAGCTGCCCAACCTGCTGGACCACGACAGCCTGTCGGAGATCTCTCAGCAGGCGGCCTCGTGGGTGCCGCTGCTGAACCTGCGCTGCGACCCGGACGCGCAGCTGTTCCTGTGCTCGCTGTTCGCGCCCATCTGCATGGAGCAGCACATCTACCCGTGCCGCAGCCTGTGCCAGAAGGTGGAGCGCAGCTGCGGCGCCCGCATGCAGCAGTACGGCTTCCCGTGGCCGGACATGGTGCGCTGCGACCAGTTCCCGGCCGACAACGACATGTGCATCACGGCCCAGTCGGGCAAACAGCCCTCCGGTGAGTGAGTGAGCGCGACGCGCCGCACCCGGGGAGACGCACCGCCCGCTGCCCCGGGAGACGCAC